TTATCTTCAGAAATATTAAGGAAAATAATTCCGTAAAATATAATTTTAAAATTATGATCTCATTTGGATTTCCACGTCTTTAATCAAATATATTATTGAAAAGCAATCACTATATATATATATATATATATATATATATATATATATATATATATATGAAATGAATGAATAGAGTCATTTGAATTTCCAAAATAATCGGAAATGGAGGATGATAAGATATATAAAATAAAAACATGTAACGTATGATTATAACTATATATTTTATAGAGATATTTGGAATTAAAAATTTATTTCATTAAATAAATGATAGATTATTTACATATTATCATATATTTCTTATTCACGATATAACAGCAACAAAAAAATGTACATTTTAATTTTAAGTACAAGCTATATATTCCCACCTTATTAATCAATATCAACTTCTGACATTTCTTAAGACATCAATTTCTGTAGAAATACAACTTTGCTTCATTTCCCTTCTGGAATTTAATCCAAAAATTGTCAAATACAATAATTTCCTGAAAATAATATTTTCACCTGCTGCATTGATTTTTTTTTTTTACCAAATGCCCTGACTGACAACACACTACTGCACACTGAGCTTATTAAAAGTACCTCTATTCCACATAACACATGTTAATGTGGAAAAAAATCATCACGAAAGGCCTACATAGTTATAAAATGTCGCTATCTAAAATTACTTGTTTTAATGTAATTAATGTTGGAATAGTCTTATTAATTGCAAATTTGTACTCTTCTATAAATGGAGAATCATGTAAGCGTTGATATCGCTTATGTAACAGAAATATTGATGCTAATATACGTTTGTATACCTCCGTTCTTAAACAACAAACGCCGGATAAATGTTTGTTAGCAAAAATATGCGTGTCTTTAATGCACGTCAATTTTGTCTCCGGATGTTTTAGCGGCAATCTGTTGCGCAGAATCGGAAATAGAGACTAAATGTGGAAAACAAAATCTGTGAATAAAGAGGAAATATCATTTCCAGCGATTCACATTAAAAAAAATATATATATTTACAAAAATAGAATAACATTTAAATTTTTAAATAAAAAAAAAACTTTTCTTTTTAAATAGCATTTCCCTATCAACGATAATCGTAAACTTTTGTATTCTTTATTTTAATGAGTTTTTTTTTTTCCCCTGATCATACGGATGTTGTTTCATTCCGCGTTTAAACAAATCGGAAATGCATTGCTTTTAAATTACCAATCTCTGTTCCCATTACTTGTTCCACTTGGATTATTTTTGTTCGTCAAGTTTGTATAGCTTTCATTATGGCTTCGGCTTATATTTCGTTTATAATGCTGTTCAGTTTCTCTCTCTTTTTCCTGTTGGCTTTCGCGTTTTTATGGTAGTGGTCCGAATTGATGTCATTTTTGTTTGTTCTCCAAGATAACTCCCCTTCTTCTGTCACCATATTTATTTCTATCGTTCATTTACATTTCTTGCTTGTTCTGCACTTTATAAATAAATTGTGCTTCGTTTTGGTTATATTTTTTGAATTGAAACATATGTCATATTTTTGACATTTCACATGGATCAGCAGTTTAAACTTGTAATCTCTTCACACTGCACTGTTTTTGAAAATATATGTAACCAGGTGAAACAAAAAGTAGATATATATAAAAAAAAAAAAATCAACATAGCTTCGTTAGGCATCTTAGCTTTTATTTTTGTTTCATATCATATTCAATCAGTGTGTTTTTAGCATTTTTGTCTACACATTCTCAACTGTTTACATGCTTGCATCTTCGCCAGATTTTTTTTTCATTTTATGAAGTATATAGAATCAATGAAGATGTTTGTTTATGTCTAAACTACGGCCTGTATTCACTTGCTATACGAAAATAATCCACATATAAACTGGAAATGACGTCAAACGAAAAAGCAATATCCATTGATTTGTATGGCAAAGAAATGTGATTTTCATTATATTCACAAAAATAGTCTTTCCTCCAAGAGTGCATCACTGATTACTGTTTAGCAAGGATTTACTTTTTAAAAGGACGCATATGTTTACAGAATTTTATGTCAAGTACGTCGGTATACAAAAATAGATAGGTGTGTAAGAAAAGGATGTTTCTTCGCAGTAGACGTATTCAAACTATGAAGTAATGTGATTCTGATAGATTTCGAAATCCAACCAGGATTCTTTATTGGTGGACAAAATCTTCACAACATCAAACAAGTAAATGAAATTTGAAAAACTCCTACAGAACGCAGTGGAAAAAAAAAGCGAGGAAAAAAGACATGAAGACGGAATGTGTGTCTGTTAGCATAATTAAGAGCCCTACACGTAAATTGCAAATTGGAGATACATTTTTTTGCTTATTTGATTTTGGTAACACGTGGGAAGTTTTTTTAACAGAGAATTCCACACTGAAATCCAAAGGCTCATTCGGTAAAGAAAGATGCATTTGGAAAGCTAAGCAGCGTATTAAGATACATCATTTTTTTTATCTTAGAAATAAAGCAAAGATTACTGAGCTGTTGCGTAATATCAGTCACCTATATGGCAGTGAACGTTTAAAAATATCAGCATTGATAAAGAATAGACTGAAAATAAGGATGACATGGACCAATCATTTAAGTATAAATGAAATTTTAGAGGGACTTCAAACGATATGTAAAATTATATTTAATATCAAGAAGTGACAGTTGAAATTTCTAGGGCACATAAGAAGCCTTGGAAAATACGATATTCACAGGCATGACTGAAGGCAAGAGGGACAGACAAATCCTACCTAGCTTGCAAACTAGAATAAATGGATGGGGGTACAAGTTTTAGGAGAGATAACAAAAAGATTGAAGTTATTAAATTATTTTTAGTTATTAAGAGCCAAAATGGACAAGAAAGTGTGGCGAGCCGTTATCGCCTACGTCCTGAGGAGGCATGGCATATAGAAAAGTGTCAGAAAAATTATTGGGTCTTAATAGACAGGCATATCATGATTTTCCACACATTCCTTAGCATACGACAAACATCAACATAAAACCTGTTTTATATATAATTTCGTTATTTTCTGTTGAAATTTCATCTTGTGAATTAAAAGATCACCAATTCTCCCCACCAACTTCTCCGAAAATTTTGAATAGTATCAGAAATCTATTAATGTAGACTTCTCTTAAAAGGGAAATAAATCAAACTGAGTGGGAAGTGCGCAGATGTACTAATTTAACTTAATATTTTTATTCGGGAAGTAGGTCTGTTCTGACTCAGTTGAACGAGACAAAAGTTACCCAATAAATTAATTTCTCATCTCTTCTCTCCAAAAGTGTGTTATTTATAGAGAATACCAGTTTAATGGTGAAAAAATATGCACACAAAGAAAGTTCTTACCTCATGTGCATTCGCATACGAATCGAACACATGTTTCAACCATCTGCATCGTATTCATGTCCGAGTTAATGGTAAACCATCTACTCTTAGCAAAGCATAATAAAGATAGAAAAATGCGACAAACCCTTTATAAAATCTATGCCATCAGAGAATTTCGGACACACTGCGTAACTAGATGTTTACCAATGCTTTGCACCTGACAGCCCTCGATCAAGAAGCGGATTATTACAGTCAAACTTTCAGTGAGGTGCGTGCTGGTTCATTACCACTGACTTGCAACCACGACAGGGGTTATTCACTCAGTGTTGATAACATGAGAGAAACGACAACGGGGATAATAATGGGGCCCAAATTGATTGCACGCGCTGCGACATTTCATTTCTGAGCTACGCTATATGGAAAATGTAATTAAATTGTATCTAAAATTCTCTTATACAGGAACCTAATTGCAAAGTTGGTCAAGCAATATGTAGCGAAAGGCTTACACTGGTAAGAATTTGTGGGATTTATCTGATAGCCATCGCTTTACACTAAAATATTCATAAATTTTGTTTTGGGTTCAGGATTAAAAACGAGTATTTCTACACTACCCCTTTCTATTTCGTTAGAAACATATTTGTAACGAGTGGGAGGTTTTATTCAATAAATGTATGTGTTGTTACCTAAGAGAGATTTTGAAAAGTAACGGGACATGTGTCATAAATAATTCATTTTAATTCCAAACAACAACAATCTACATGTTTTCCCCTGCAAAGTTAATCCCTCGCGTCTAATTCCCTTTTCCTTCCTTCTAAGTCACGATTCTACTTGAATACCTTTCAGCTCCGTCGTGGTCTCTCTTGATGGCCTCCAGGCCGTCAAAACGGTTCCCATTAAAGATCCAATTGAGCTTGGGCTTGAGGAAAAGAAAATTCACACGGAGCAAGATCAGGTGTTTAAGGCGGTTGTTCCAGGACGGCGATGTTATTCTCGGACAAGAATTGTGGGATACTCTGAGCGTTGCGAGCAGCCACGATTTGTCCTGCCACAAAAGCATATGACAAACATGTAATAGTTGCAGAAAGCTAATCTTACTTATGATCTACCAAGATATAATGTAAGGTAACACAATCCGCGTATCCCTCTTTTTGCCCAGAGTGTCAGACGGTCCCGTTATTTTTCAGAGAAGCCTCGTATCTAAGGAGAAAAGCTGACGCAAGTAGAACAATTTTCATCAAAATCTGAAAGTATAGCTAGAAATGGAGGCTATTTTAATAATATTTCCGCAGGTTACTTATTTTTTCACTATTTCTAGAACAAGAAAACATTTATGTCAAACATCAAATTTTTAAGCAGTTCATATATCACAGAATCACAAAGTTTTAATAATTAACTATTAGTGAAATATCTTCCATAGGACTAGGAATGGAAATAGCATGCGATTTTGAAAAGAGGATAAAAAGTATTTTCAAAATATTTCATATAACTGAGGGTGAAGAATGAGCATCACGTTAAATTATAAGGCAATATTATAATTAGAAATTGATACCTTTTATATGTGCGCATTATGGCGGGAATTAACTAATTCCTATGTTTGATCTATTTTCTGTTGAGAGCGGTTTAACAACATCGTGTATAAAATAAACCCAGTAAAATGACAACGAGAACGACAACTCCTCCGATATCTTCTGTTGCGTTTTCAGCTATTTCGCTGGAAAAAAAATCCACTTTCTTTTCGGTTGTCGTAAACAGTCGAGTCGTTTATTTCTTTGAAATATGGATACATGTGATAAACCTGTTAAGTAAGTCAGCGCTGTTTACGTCCCTTTTAAAGACAAGCCGTGATGTAAATGTTGAAGTCGTTATGAACTTTAGAGCATAACATTTGCTTGAGTAACAAACGTTTGTAATTGAAACTGGTATTACTCGTGATATTTTCAAATTATTTTCATTTTGAATTATTTGTTGAAACGTAATACTCAAATTGTTGACTGAATAAGTTCCTTGCGACTTCTACGAGTATAATTTACTCGTGTGAAACTTACATTCATTTGCCAGTGCCTAACAAACAACGTATCTAATGAACAATCAGAATGATGATTGCACTAGGAAAGTAATGTTTTATAACGAAAGAGTCGATTAGAAATTATTAATAGATTTCTTTTATTTTAGCAATGAATAGGGAACATATATCATTTACACAAGGATATTTTAAAGACCATACTAGAAAAAAAAAAAGCAAGATTTATTTGATGTAACAGTTTTAAGTTATGTTTTGCTCATACACTGTATCGTAGGGGTTTTGTGCAGACGCACATTTTTATCTTTGTATATTAGATTTCAATATTTCTTGTTCATATATCCACTCATTCAAGCACTGGATCTAATAATTTTTTTCATTCGATCACTTTCAGTCGCTTTATTTCTTAATCCCTAATCCGATGTCAGTAGTTATCTTGTCACTGTCAATTCAATTACGCAGTGAAATCGAATGATTCCATCAGTTCTTTTTTTTATTATTAAAAACTAAAAGATAACGTCGATTGTTTTCATTTTAAGTACAATGTTCTTTATAGCAAAACGTAACGGTATTAGGATTACGAAGCTAACTTTCCGAAAACGTCTCTGCGCTTCGTAATACATATAAACAATTCTTCCGTGCGCTTTAGTAATTTGAGAGAGCTTATTCATTTGAATAAATTATTTTTCAGTTGCTGCAGACAAGAACATTTCCATTGTTTTCTCAAAAAATAAAAAAAAAAAATTCTCTTTTTTTAAAACATCAATTGAATCAGAAACAACATTAATGTTTTTTGTATATATTAAACAACAGGTTCTTTTGATGTCTTCCAATTCAATCTTTTCACAACTAGTCTAATCTTTATAGACAGAAAATAAGTTTTTACCTACGCTTTTGCGAAAGTAAATAAATATATTCAGGCGATTTACATTAATTAACAAAAGAATCATTTAAGATATTGCTGCCGGAAATCTTTTTCAATTGACTATACAAACGTACTAAACAACTTTCATCTAGTAAGAGGGTTTAATGACTTAGTTGTTGTTCTAACTTTTCTTTTTATATATAGAACGGTTTGGTCATCTTAGTATGCAGAAATTCCGCCCACTCTCGCGCATTCTTCGTATGTCGTTTATTTTTCTCAATTTAAGTACCATCTCTGCTTCAAGAGAGACTTAGCACTCGTCAGATAAAGCGTTTTATTTTTAGCAGAATGTTGCAACATAGTGTGTGTGATGTACAGGTTAAGCTGTATTATTAGGAAAAGAAAAAGCAAACTAAATTTTTAAAAAAAATATCTCCATTATATATTTGATATGGACACAAGTCCTCTAAAAAAAAAAAAAAAAAAAAAGAATATGCTCAGCAATATATAAGCAAAAAAAGACTTTAATATATACACCCATGTAAAGATAGATTCCTCGTCGATTGCTATGCTAATCAAACGTTGACAAAGCATTGCACACGATTTAGATTACCGAGTCATTTGATCGGTTATATATTTGAGAGAACACAGATAAAGTGTTCTTGCAACTTGATACGGCTTTACTACTCAGAAACTAACCTCAAACTTAATCCGAGATGACTACTCAATAATCTATATAATTCTTACATTTATATACATCCGCCATTCATCTATCCTTAGAATATTTCTGCCATATTTGGTGTCATTCTCCCGCCATATAGCTAGAGATCATTGATGAAATCAAGGGAATAATCAGCAATATTATTTGTTCTGAGCTGGCGTCTCGTCTTCAGACACGTTCCGACTGCCTTAAAGTTGCTTTCTGTTACCATTTCTATACATATTTCCATGGCAAACTTTCTGATGAGGCCTTCGCCAAGTTGTCTAGAATTTATGAATTTAAGCGCGATACTAGTCTGGCGACACATTCTCAACCATTTACATACTATTTGGTTACATAAAACCTTAAGTTCTATGCTAACTCATCTCAGTTGCGCAATGCACTTCCGGCTCCATGCTTTCCTGCTAATTTTAATATTCAAAAACTTAAATGCAATATCATTTCGTTTGTTCTTGCTCCTAAGTTTTATTTTTCTAGTTTTTCCGCATACCCATTGTTTCATAACTGTCTTGCTTGGGATGAAATCGATTAAAAGAAATTGTGACGAATAATCTCGTTCCCACATGTTGCGTATGCATTTGCAATAATTTGTTTACTTATTGATATGACGCAAACGATAATACTTAATATTTACCCCGTAAACGAAATCCTTTCCCTTGGAGGAATAATTTGCTTATTAATGTTTCCCGTTGTTCGGTCCGAAAAAAGAAGTTCGTGTAGTCTTTTCAAAATCTCGTTAGTTGTTCAAATTCTACAATTTACGATCGTTTAAAGCTAGTAACATGTTGAGATGGTAATCGATGTTTCGTAACTATGGATTAAATTAAAACTATCTGTCTCAAGTTTATATAAAATGTCAGTCATCGTAAATTGCGCATAATCAGGCTTTTCGCTGAAACACATTTATCGTGACTGTGTCTTGGCAGAATCATCGACGGTTTTAGAGCAGTTTGCCCCAGACATATTTTAGGATAAGGCTCGATTTTTCCGTGCTAGTTTTTCATATGCTTTCCTACAGTGCCGCACATACTTAAAAATATTATCTAGACCAGCTATTGTGATAATTGTTTATGGTCTCAACGATAACGTTATACTCCCTCGGATACGTACATAGATAAAATAAATAAAATTATTAACGTCATGTTATTTCAAGTAAGAAATTAAAAAAAAAAAAAAAACACTTGCCTATATTGTGCTTTTCAGCGAATTATAAAGAAACCAAGTTCCATTCAAATTCTCAATTTGAATCAATATCAACATTTTGCTGATGGCAATCGCTTTTAATCTCTTAATTCTTTATGCCACGACTGTAAAATTGCCGGACTAATTATAAATTTGCACAATTGGATATTTCGATAAACTGATTTGCGAATATGTACTAATGTACCAAGCTACGAAAATACAACTTATTTTTTCTTTCTTATTTATAATAATTGTAAGAGTATATATCAGTAATCGTCTTGGTATTGTATATATTTTATTTAATTTCATTTTATTTTACAGCGATCCAAACAAACCCGAAAAACAAGAATCGGTGCATGGAGGTAGAGTCACTAACCGTTTCATCAATTTGGAATGGCCGAAATATGACCTTGAGGACCAAAAATACCTTCATATAGGTAAGAGATTTTTTGTCTGGAGTCAGGAACGAAGATGGTTTAAAATAGTACTCGTTAAAATATCGTTATTTCAGCAATCTATAATTTTCGAGTAATGATTGACCTTGAAATTACCAATTACAAACACGATGTGTGATTTTGCATGTGACAAAAAAGTCGGGCGTATAGGAATGGCATTAGTGTGCAAACAAGTCACCTTTGATTTCAAACTGCTTATATATATATATATATATATATATATATGGCAGTTGTTAGTGTTGACCAAATAATTTACACTGGATGGCATATACTAAGGTGTGTGTTTTTGCTGTTGTGGGGAGCAGGCAGAAAACAACAATAAGCAAATAGTAATTGTCCATTATATCGCACGACTGTAAAGCTCTGCCAATTTCCCATAAGTTTTAATCTCGTTAAAGGTGAAGAGAACTCTCAGTAACGTTACTTGATTTCAGTGAACCAAAAACAAAAAGATGAAGAAAGGTTTAACGTCCCATGGTAAGAGCTCATAAATAATGGACAATTCCGTTCTGATCGAGGTTTCAGTGAAATCGAAAAGTTATCAATCTCAAACATCCATTTAGACCTCATTAAAATAATGACCACCATTCATATATATAGTTTTTATTCCGATATTTTGTTTAGATTATTATTCTCAGAAATTTAACGATGAAATAAGGGAAATTCTACGGATATTCTATTCTCATAGAACTCAACTTGATCTTATTCAATTGAGTGAAAAATTAAGATCCATCAGAAATTGAGAATAGTCCACCGTCAAATGTTCACTGGATAACATTAGTCATAATAATTATAATTATTTGTATCGTTAGATGTTAATGACTGCTACTAACTTCAATGGTATAATTGTATGAATCGACAAGATTTTATTATTACTAGCAACAATGACTTCCGCTATTATGGTGGTGAAATTCGAAAAAGAGAATACCAACATATACGCGTGTTATTTTTTTCTAACTATATACATGGACACCTATATAAATATATAACTACGAGAAAACGCACCCATTTGAAAATTTATAGTCATTATTACTACTATCCGAACTTGAATGATAGATTCCTTGATTTACTCCTAAGAAAATGGTATATTTCTAAATAATATATCCAATAACATTGAGAATAACCAAAAAAATGCAAACTTTAGGAAAAATATAGGAATCATTAATCACAAAATTAAATTTCGGTTGTATTAAGAAACAATTATTTGCATCAATATAAGTAATTTTTATCTGTTTCATACGCCTGTTTCAACACCAAGCATCACCACCAATACTACTTAACACCACTAATATCTATAAGACCAATACGTGAAAAAAGTCACAGTATTAAACAAGGTAAATGACGGTTCCGTATAGGATACAGTTTCGAATCCTGTGCGGATGACGAATATTATCTGTGAAAATTTCTCGGACATTCAGCCCGGTAAATGTTGTTTAATACTGTTTATTATGAACAGAACTTTTATTTAAATATTTGTATCTATACAAAGAATGCATAAACATAAAAATGTCTTTATATATATATATATATATATTGTGTGTGTGTGTGTAAATATGACTTTTTCAATACATTTAGTTTTTACTTTCTATGAGTTATCATACACATTACTGAGCAAGATTTATAAATATTGAATCAATTATAAAATCTCGTTCTTAATCTACCGCTGTGATCTCCTACGATATTTCACCTTCTGTGAAATATCGTAGGAGATCGATTTTAAATTAAATCCATCTTGATTTCAAAGTTCGGTTGTTTAAACAAACGAAAATACGTTGTTTCTTTGTTATGTTTATTCCCTCTACTTGTTATAAGAATATTGTATGAAGGTAGAACGAACACTTAATTTTGTTATTTTGACACAGTTTTCTTATTGCATATGTATTTTATGAGAATAAAAAAAATATTTATTAGTTGGAAACAATAATTGTTCATGTTCTTAAGCACACTATTCTGATTTCTAAAGTGTTTATTGATGATCAAATCTGTCTAAATTTTCAAATATTATTGAATCGAAATTCTAAGAATGTGCCACTAATGATAAATGGTTTTCATTTCGTGAAAAACAAACACAAATGATTTGCATTTTATTTTCTATTTACAGGAATGCGCCCAAACAAAAGAGAATATTACCGTGGACAAAAGCTGGCACTTTGGTTGGAACTTTTACCAAAGATTCACAAACCAGACAACTGTAGTCCCGAGCACCACAAACTCGATAATTCAAATAATATGAGTACATTTGATGAGCCGGACCGGTTGTTACATTATTCGGAGGTCTTCCCATCACCCCCGCCTATGCCACCAATCTCTCCGCCTCCCAAGCCACAATCCCCGGTTACCCCAAACAACGAGGATTCCCACAGCCCGTCACAGTCCACATATAGTTACTCATCAGATTATACATTTGACAACACGCCTGTACACAGGTCGACTGATTTCCCGCCAAATGATCGTCGGTCGACGGCCAGTACGAACAATCAGAAAGAGGCAGCCTCGTTAGGCAGAGGGGGAACGGACAGCGTGGTGCCGCTCAGCATCACCATCGCCGTCGGCTGCTCACTGCTCTTCTTGAATATCCTTATTTTTGCTGGTGTCTATTATCAGCGTGAGCGAATCAAGAAGTCGAGGCGCGAGAAAGATGAAATGGAAGAGATGAAGCTCTCTCGCAAAATGGAAAAAGAGTCTAACAAAATCAGCAGCATGTCGGGAGGCGGAAGCATTGGGGGTGGCGTAAGTGGGGGTAGTATAGGAGGCCCCGAAACGGTTAGCCTAATGTCTACACCGCCGACGCAATCTTCGCCCACAAGAGGGGGCCAACATAACAATCCTTTAATCAACTCCAGCAAACAGAACCCGGGCAAAGTTCCCACTTCCCAGGCATATTCCTACAGCGCTTTGCCAACCACGTCTTCGTCGCCTTTACATAGGCCAGCTAACTCTCCGACGGACCATCCAGTGAAAGCTAATTCCCCATCCAGAAAGATTATCACGAATGCGATCAAGAGTAAAGAACAAATGGAACCTTCGAAAAAATCACATCGATCCTCAGGAATCGAACAAGCAAACAACGCCATTACAATAGTTTGAAGTGTTTCATTATGATCAAAACCTTTCAACTGAAGAAAAAAATCAATATCATTATAAACAATGAAGAAATGTTTCAGAAAATCTTTTCTACAAACGAAAAAAAAAAAAAAAAGGACGGAAAATAACATGGATGATTTTTTATAAATCGAATTTCACTTTTTTTGACCATCGTCAAAAATGATAAATAATAAACCATTTCAGCACCTCGTTATACACCTCATCTCCCCAATTTTTATCCCCGACAAAAAAAAAAAAAAAATACAACAAAAAAACAAAACAAAAAAAAAATAAACAAAAATCTCTCATATCAAGGGGGTAATCTGGGGTGGTTCATTTCTATCACTGTGCTGACAACAATCAACATTCAATTTTTTAAAAGAAATAATGTTTAAATTGTAAATCAAATTAAAACGAAAAGACTGAAGGTTTCAATCGAAATGGGGAAACAGAATGAAGTGATAGATTTGGAAGTGAAGATCGGAAGTAAAAAAAAAAAAAAAAAATGTTTAGTTGAAAGTACCAAAAAGAGAAGAATGGAGGATTCTATCAATGCCTTACAATGAAATCGTGTGCAAAGCGTGGTCTAGTAGAGCCAGTTAGGCGTATATCTCTCTGTGAAGCTAACTGTTCAATTTTTCTTATTTTTGAAATCTAAAAGCAAAACAAAGGAATTTTGAAAACTGGAGTTGGTAAAAGACCACGATAACAATAATTCATTGTTAAATTATTAACTAGAAAATACTTTAAACTAACAAAATATCATATAATCCATACCCTCATTTTCCATCTTTGGTTGATAAACATTTGAAACATAAAAACAAATGTTTAAATATCATCAATGTTTCGGGCAAATATGAATGTCCGTAGAAGTTCAAATGATTTGACTGATTAAGTATATTAATAGATTAATTAATTTCAGAATATTCTAGGGATACAACGCGTTGAAATATGATTTCGATATTGGATAGAATAAAGTTAAATACCTTATAATTTTTAATGTAACTTATTAATCTTATTTTATTTCAATATAAATATTAATTCATATCAGTGATCATAAATACTTAACAGAATATTGGAAACTTTACGATAGATATAAAATAAAGATTATAAACACTATTATTCTATTTCTGAATATTTCGAGTTAGCAAAAAGCACTTTGATTAAAAAAAAATGTGTGTAGAATATTTTAACAGAGCATGAATTTACCATCATTATCATTTGAACGCATTATTAGTCAACTGATTTGAAAAACTATCGTTCTTATAATAGAGACATAACTCAATAATTTGCCCTTTGACCCCAACTAATGGAATGATTTAATTTGCTTTGCTCAGAGTCGTTTTTGTTAAAAAAAAAAAATCAGCTATTTTTCTTTTATTACATTAATGGCACCCTTATCCTTAATGAACAAATGTATTCCTACTGAAGTTGCGCTCATCCAGACGACGTAAAACTAACATGTAGACATAAAGGTCAATCGTTTCTTCCTAAACTTGCTTAATATGTCAGTTTATTTCTAACTTTTCTTTGGAAACGTTTCCAGCCATGCAAAAGATTTTCTGATAATTTTGTACTTGACAAAAATAGAAAAAAATATACTTAAAAAAAAAAATTAACATTGAAAAACATTAAAAATATATTTGTCGTGTTTTATTTATTTTTCAATTTTTTGTTGAAAATATGTCAAAGTGTGAACTACTCCTCCCCCTCCAACCTGTTCCTTCAACGACATTACCAGATTTGAAACACACAAATAACATACGTTTTGTTTTGAGAGAATTATAAAATGAAAAAAATATATTCAGAAAGAAATTGATTATTATGGTCAGAATAAATTGAACCACAGAACCAATTTTGTTTTAGTAACTTAAAAAGAATTCTCATTTAAAATACGAAAAGCGAAAGAAAATACTTATATATATATATATAACAAAAATATTGCCGTAATGGCAGTTTTAGAAACTCATCGTGTAGACGTTGATTGTGGTTGCATCTTTCTCCACATAGAAAAATGGCTATTATTTCTATGTAATGCGGTAAACTGTGATTAAATAAAGCATCAACAAAAGAGACTAAAATCAAACATTAAGGAAATATTTCAAAAGCCGCCGAGAGAAAACAAAAAAGAAACAAATCAACGCACCTTGTACACAACATCGGAAATTGCCCCAGAAGTTTTTCTTTAAAAATGTTTTCTGATACAAAGACAGAAGGAAAAGTGTGTTTTTATATATAATCAAGTGAATTTAAAAAAAAAAATCAGGATGTCAACAAAGACAATTGGAAAAAAAAATTTAAAAAAAAGATTATCCTTTAGAAAGGACAATTTGAATCTTCTCAGAAGAAAGGATACATGTTTTCATATCTAAAAAATAATAAAACAAACGTGTATACACATGTATCAAAATATAACAAAATGACTGAATACGTTTATTATTCAAAGAGGTTAACATTGAACTATGCCTCAAATTCAAAACTTCCTAACAATGAGAGATAACAACTTCGAATGATTTATATTGAAAAGACAAGGAAAGTGACACCGATAAAACACGATGTAAAGAAGCTTTAGCAAGACGAAAAAGGAAGAAATCCAATAGTCAGCGGACTGAAGATAAAGGAATATATCATCAACAACACAATGACTACAAACGTTTCCATTGTTTTTAAATTAATTTTCAGATTTTTGCTTTTCGATTGATACTTTGAAATGTTTCCATGAAATGTTTAAAGCAGGGAAATTTGGTTGATCATAAGCATATCCCCCATTACTCCCACTATAAACAAGTGTCCGTGTTAACAATTGACAAAACGAAAGAAAATGGGACTATTATAGGTTATTATATAAACATATCTTAAAGGATTCTTCTGCGTGTCTGTAGATTTGTTTGGTATTAGATGTTATTAGAGATTTTTTGGTGAATGCAAGTTTGTCATGATGCTATATGGACAGAATTTAAATAAACACGAGCGGAAATAAAGTAAAATAATCAAAAAATATTATAGAATATATGATTTCAGCTTGAAGAAACGTGTGAAATTAATATAACTGTTTGGTATGTGTGAATAAATGCGATTAAAACAATAGTTTTGAAAGAAGATAGGAATAATATACGCTTTCATATAATAAACAGATAGCTAACGCATTTACCAACGAAAAGCAATTTTAGAGAGATAAAAAGAGTGGGATTTTTATCTTAAGGAAAATCTACGAAATGCACAGCATTTTCTTTTCTTTCTTTTTTTACATTAATGGCGAAGTTTTGACTTTGGTTAATTCTTTGGTATGTTGCCGGAAATAATGTCATATTTGATGGATAAACTTCCCAGAAACACTTATAATAACTTATTATATACAAATAAGCCAGCATTAAACTCGACTTTTTTTTTCGAGACTGTGATATAATTTAGATATATACATATATAGGTTAACTTAAAACAGAGAATCCATTAAATAAGTTCACCAAAGGAAGAGAAAAAGATAATTTATAACCGGGATCTTCTAAATTTCAATAAGATATTTGGCTTTTCTGAGTTTTAAGAATGTATAATTTCAAGGAAATTGTGATAACCAAATGGGAATGAAATGCTTTTAATTTGAAGTAATATCTTTCAGAATATTGGTTCAATAAAACATCGAAATATTTTTATTTGTAAAGAGCTAAGTTTCTCGGCTTTCAAGCGCATTTGTTTGCACATTTCTTTCCGAAAATAACGGTAACCAAGAACAGTTATAACAATAGACAATAATTTCATCCATCGTATTAAAGGCCAATTTTTCAAAAAAAAAAAAAAAAAAAAAAAAAAAAAATTAACACGACAGATTCTACAAACTCGAAAATATAAATAAGCTGGGTTTAGGCGTAAGTGTTAACTGTCGAGCACGATACACACCGCATTATAGGGAGGCATTTCTACGTATATATCAAAAAGAAGTTAGACGAACAGGTTGTATGGTTTGTTTGTGTATATATCTGAACAGAATTTAATGTTTAAATTACAGATATAATTATTATATTTATTTTCATAATTTGTTAGATATTCTCCGTTGAATTATGACCGATCCAGTGTTTTTCCAAATTTTTCGTTACCATTCAATACTTTTTTGAATATGTACTGTTAAGAGAAGGCAGATTTGTCATTGTTATGTCACCGTGATGTTAATTTATTGGTAAGGTTTTAATAATTTATGAATTAATTTAAAATTTACAGAAATATTTTTACATTGTTTCACGAAAGCGTCAAAGGGTGGCAAAAGAACAGACATTCTTTTGGCACGATAATCGAAATAATTAAACATTAGTAATAAATTCCGTATTTTATGGTTCAGATTTTAGATTCGGTGTAGAAATTCAACATAACGAAGATTAACTATGAATAGTCTTTAAAATTAACACGAAATTAAATCACACAAAAAAAAAAAAAAAAACTATCATTATTTATAATAAATATCACGCTTATTTTTTTAAACAAATAATCAATCTATATTTGCTTCATCACAAAATGAGGCTTAAAAATAATAAAGTAAAATTAGCATAAGATGAAATTTGTCATACAATTACCTAGAACTTTTGAGAATTACTCTTATTTGAGGACAAAATTATATGACGTGCCAAAGATTATAAGGAAACGTATGTCGCGAGGATGTGAAAAAGAATACAGCTATTCGCGTCAGAATTGTGGAGAGCGTACTGTTCGTGTACGAGGAGAATTTACATATGAATCAATTAGAGGCTTTCATTAAATTATTTATATATATATATATATATATATATATACTCTCTAGTTAACTTAGATACGATAACGGGGATAAATTTCAAGAGAAAGAAATTTATAATTGTTAAAATAATTCATAACCACATTGCAGGTAAAGGAATGTGGTTATGAATTATTTTACTTTGTACAAGCAGAAAACGTTCCAACCGAATCTCTTACTAAAAACGAACATCTGAAATTACATTACTTAACGAGAACAATACAACTATAAGAAAGGATCTTAATTA